CCTCGCAGCGGGCAGGGTGGGCGTGAAGCCACAGGCTGGACAGGAGCTGAGCTGAGCAGGGGAGGCGGTGTGAGAGGCGCCCTGAGGAGGACATGAGTGCAGGGCCCAGAGGCAGTTCGCATTGTCCAAAGGTCAAAGAGGGGGTGGGACTTGGCAGTGGTTTGGGTTCCGCTGGGACAGGGTTGAAATGAGGTGAGGCTGAGTCCTTCTGTTTAAATATATGGTTATTGATTTCAGAGAGGAAGGGAGAGGGAGAGGGAAACACACATAATCAATGAGAATCATTGGTTGGCTGCCTTCTGATTGGGGGTGGAGCCCACAACCCAGGCTTGTGCCCTGACCTGTAATCTGTGGCCTCCTGGTTCACAGGTCCACGCTCAACCACTGAGCCCCCTGGCCGGGCATGGCCCCCTTCTGTTTAGATCAGGGAGAAAGGTCTCATGGGAGAATGGGGAGGGGAGTCTGCTCAGGAGCCCCGTTTCCATCCGGTCTCTGTGGTCCTGGGGCCTCACTCTCACCTCTGTGGCCTCAGCTGGTCCCCCTGTAAAACGGGCTCACTTGGCCTGCTGACCATTCTGGTGACATTTGCAAACTCATAGATGGGAGATGGGAGGTCCTTGATCATGGAGGATGTGACCCCAGGGCCCCGGGGCCAGATGGAGTCCTTGCATGGCTCCCTGCTGGCGGCCCTGGGGTCCTGCAAGGTCAGGGCCCTGAGACCGGGAGAGCTCACCCAGCACCCCCCGCGTGCAGCTGCGGAGCCGCTTCGGGGACGTGTTCAGCCTGCAGCTGGCCTGGACGCCCGTGGTCGTGATCAACGGGCTGGAGGCCGTGCGCGAAGCGCTGGTGCAGCGCAGCGAGGACACCTCAGACCGCCCGCCCGCGCCCGTCTACGAGCATCTGGGGTTCGGGCCGCAGGCGCAAGGCGAGCGGAGGGGCGGGCAGGCCGCGGCCGCGGGACAGGGCCCGCAGTGAGCGGCGGGCGCCAGCGGAGGGGCGGGGCTTGCTGAGCACTCAGCCAATAGGAAGAGGCGGCCGGGGAGGAGCCTGCGCCATTGGTGGGAGAGGAGGGGTAGGGCCTGCCCTGACGGGGCGGGGCTTGCTGTGCACTCAGCCAATAGGGAGGGGCGGCAAGGGGAGGAGCCTGCGCCATTGGTGGGAGAGGAGGGGTGGGGCCTGCCCTGACGGGGGCGGGGCTTGCTGTGCACTCAGCCAATAGGGAGGGGCGGCAAGGGGAGGAGCCTGCGTTATTGGTGGGGGAGGGGCGGGGCCTGCGCTGGCGGGGGCGGGGCTTGTGGGCCGGGCCGGGCCGGTTCCTGGCGGAGGAGGGAGAGCCCAGAGCAATGGGTGCGGGTGGGGCAGAGGCGGGGCCTGCGCACGCCGAGCCCCGCCCACTGCCCGCTCCCAGGAGTGATCCTCGCGCGCTACGGGCACGCGTGGCGCGAGCAGCGGCGCTTCTCCGTGTCCACCCTGCGCGACTTCGGCCTGGGCAAGAAGTCCCTGGAGCAGTGGGTGACCGAGGAGGCCGCCTGCCTGTGTGCGGCCTTCGAGGACCAGGCGGGTGAGTGCTGAGCTGAGGGCAGGCAGCGGGGAGCGCTGGGCACCACACGGACGCGCCCCTGACCTGCCCCGCCCGCTCCCAGGGCGCCCCTTCAGCCCCAGCGCCCTCCTGAACAAGGCGGTGAGCAACGTGATCTCTTCCCTCATCTATGGGCGCCGCTTCCAGTACCAAGACCCGCGCTTCCAAAAGCTGCTGGACCTGATGGAGGAAGGGTTGAAGGAGGATTCGGGATTCCTTCGCCAGGTGGGGGAGTCATGGGCCCCCCCTTTTATTATTTTTTAAATATATATTTTATTGATATTTTTACAGAGAGGAAGGGAGAGGGAGAGTTAGAAACATGGATGAGAGAGAAACATCAGCTGCCTCTTGCACACTCCCTACCGGGGATGTGCCCGCAACCAAGGTACATGCCCTTGACTGGAATCGAACCTGGGACCTTTCAGTCCGCAGGCCAATGCTCTATCCACTGAGCCAAACCGGTTTCGGCTGGACCCCCCTTTTAATGCCCCCCCCCCCATGGGCTTCCTGGGAGGAGGGTGACTCAGAGGGGTTGGAGAAGGGCATTCAGAAGAGGCCTCTGCAAGAGCACAGCCTGGAGGTGAGAAAACACAGATACCCGGATGGGAGAGGCGGACCAGGGTCAGACCCCCCAGGGGAGCCAAGGGACCCGGACCTCCCTCCTCAGAAGCCACGACCGGGAGATCTTAGGTTTCTTGGGGCAGCCCAGGCCAAGGGAGAGGGTCAAGGTGGCGACCCCTCGGGAGCTGACTTGTCAAGAGGACCACCTGGGCACAGGAAGGACCGCCCAGGACCCACTCCTGTGCCTGTCCAGGTGCTGGACGCGGTCCCTGTGCTGTTGCGCATCCCGGGGCTGGCTGCCAAGGTTTTCAAGGGGCAGAGGGCCTTCATGGCCTTGCTGGATGAGCTGGTCACTGAGCACAAGATGTCCCGGGACCCAGCCCAGCCACCCCGGGACCTGACTGACGCCTTCCTGGATGAGGTGGAGAAGGTGGGCAGCTGCCAGGGACGGGGGGCAGGGGGCTGTTGGTTGTGGTAAGCCCAGGCAAGGTGGGCAGTGAGGCTGCTGTGTACTGTGGGAGCCATTTGGGGCTTCCTCCCTCTTGGCCAGGCCAAGGAGAACCCCAGGAGCAGCTTCACCGATGAGAACCTGCGCATGGTGGTGGTGGACCTGTTCACCGCTGGGATGGTGACCACCTCGACCACACTGGCCTGGGCCCTCCTGCTCATGATCCTGCACCCGGATGTGCAGCGTGAGCCGGGCGGGGGTCGGTGGGATGGGGAGGGAGGAAAGGGACAGCCTGGGGCCCTGAGCTCACTTTGGACACACAGAGGCGGGTCCTCACTCTGAGGTCAGAGTGACTTCCTTCTCTACAAGCCCCTCCCCCAAGGCCAGCCCCCAGCCCCCACCCTACCCCACCCACCGGCACCCGGGCCTGACCACTGTGGGATCCTGTCTGTCCAGGCCGCGTCCAAAAGGAGATCGACGAGGCCATAGGGCAAGCGCGTCGACCAGAGATGGCGGACCAGGCCCGCATGCCCTTCACCGTGGCCGTGGTCCACGAGGTACAGCGCTTTGCGGACATCATCCCGCTGGGCGTGCCCCACATGACCTCCCAGGACACGGAAGTGCGGGGTTTCCTCATCCCCAAGGTAGGCCCGGCCCTCATCGCTCAGCAGCACCCACCCTGGGGGCTCTGACCAGCCCCGAGCACAGCCCTGGCCCCGCTCATGCCCAGCACTGCCGACCCTGGAGGGCGCGGGGAGGGGCGCAGGGCAGGGCCCCCCGGAGGGAAGGCACAGCGAAGCGGGAGCAGCCCTGCATGCAGGGCCGGGGGCAGGGAGACCCCACAGGCACAGGGCAGTGCCGGGACGGGCGTGTTCAGACAGGGTGTGCCCCTGAGTGTTCGGTGGGCGGCAGGTCCCAGCAGCCCTGCCCACCCCCCCGTGCGGCCTCTCCTGCCAGGGCACCACGCTCATCACCAACCTGTCGTCGGTGCTGAAGGACGAGGCCGCCTGGAAGGAGCCCTTCCGCTTCCAGCCCGAGCACTTCCTGGACGCCCAGGGCCGCTTCGTCAAACCCCCGGCTTTCATGCCCTTCTCAGCAGGTGCCTGCGGGGTGCCAGCCTGCTGCCCCGCCCGAGGGAGCCTGGAGGGTGAGGGCCAGGCCCCAGCTCACCGGCCCCCTGTCCCCCCCACAGGCCGCCGCTCCTGCCTCGGGGAGCCCCTGGCCCGCATGGAGCTCTTCCTCTTCTTCACCTGCCTCCTGCAGCGCTTCAGCTTCTCGGTGCCCGCCGGGCAGCCCCGCCCCAGCGACCACGGGGCCTATGCCTTCCTGGTGGCCCCGCACCCCTACCAGCTCTGTGCCCTGCCCCGCTAGAGGGGCACCCGCGCCAGCCCGCTCCTCAGCTGGGAGCCTCCTGTGCAATAAAGCAGCCTGGTGGCCCCAGCCTTCCTCCTGAGTGCCCCCAGGCCCCTTGCCCATCCTGGCAGCGATGGCACCTCAGCAGCCTCCCCAGGGCCAGGGCCTCCCTGCCTTAGCCACCTCACCCCGCACTTGGCCCCGGGTGAGAGGCGGTGTCCTGGGGCTCAGGGAAGTGACAGCTGACCCCCAGGCGCCGTGGAAACCAGCGCTGGCTGCTCTGGCGGGTGGCAGTCTGCACAGGCCCAGGCTCCTGCTGGCCGGGGGGCGGAGGCCTGGCCCAGCCTGATGCTCACTCCGCCCAGCAGCACCGCCCTGCACCACAGGCAGCAGCTCAGCCAACACAGAAGCCTGCTCCCCACTGACACCCCAAATGGTCAGGAGGGCTGGAAGTGATGTTCCCGTTAACACCCAGGCTCAGTGATGGGGGCGGAGCTCTCCCTGGGAAGCCTAATGGCAGCCCAGGAGCCAGCCCCCTCCCTGAGCCTCTGAGTCACCCCAACATTGAAAAGCCACGTTCCCAGGCCTGTGGCCCAGCCCCTGCCAGGAAAGAGCTGTCTCCTGGCCAGGCTGGATCTGGAGGCACTTGTCTGGGCTCGAACCCCAGCCCAGTCCTGGGAGAGGCTTGCCAGGACTAGTGTGACCTTACGTGACCTGTGCCCACCCGCAGACGCTTCCTCGGGCCCGGAGCACCTTGTGCATTTAGTTAACAGCTTAGGGACCCCAGGTGCTCAGGGCAGAAGCCCGCCCAGCAGCATCACGGCCCCTGAGGGGCTCCCCCAGTGCCCTCTCAGTGCCCCTGACAGGGCGCTCCCAGCACCAGCCTGCAGGGAGCGGGTCTGTCCCGCGACGGGGAGCCCGGGCCAGCAGGGCCCTTCGGCCGCCCCGAGCGCCCCTGCCGAGCCAGGCTGGTGGTGGTGTTCCTGTCGTTGGGACAGTGCAGACCGGCCACACCGGCTCAGTGAGGGGAGGCGGGAGGCGGCATTGGCCGCAGGGGTATCACCTCGTGTGTTTATTGGGTTGTCACTGGTGCTTCTGAGTCTCGGGGCCGTCGGAGACCGGGAACCAGCCGAGCCAGAGCTTCCTCAGGAGCCGGGGGGCCCACCCTCCGGGCCGCTCCTCCTGGCTCTGCACCGCAGAGGCCTCTCCAGCACCAACAGGCAGGCCCTGCAGGTCCCCTGCGGGAGGAGCCGTCCTCAGGCCAGGCAGCGGGACCGGATGGGGCGGGAGAGCGGGCAGGGCTGGCCCAGCGACTCCTCCCATGCACGTCCCTGGGGGCTACCTGGCCTTCCCTCCCGGGCGGGAGGGTCTGGGTCCTGGGAGCTCTGCAGGGTCAGGGAGGGGAAGGAAGGGAGGGAGGGAGGCGGGTGGGGGCTCTCTCACCTGAAGGGGGCAGAGCAGGCTCCGCGGGGACCTTCGCCTCCTGGGAAAGAGGCAGTGGCGGGTGAGACAGGCTCTGTACGTGGGGACTGGGCCTCGCTACACGAGAAGTCAGGAGGCCAGGCTCACACCGCGTCTGCTCCCTCAGCTCCGCACAGAGCTGCTCTAAGATGCATGTCTGGCCCAGTCATGTTGGGGTTGCCCCAGCCCCCCTCCATCCCCGCCGCCAGGCACTGCTTGGGGCACCAGGCTTCCTTACCTCCCAGCCTGGGCTGCCTGCCAGCTCCTTCTCCTCAGCCACATCCTTCCCAGCAGGAGTGGGGCTGGCTGCTCCCTGGCCTGGGACCGTCCCCTCCCCTGCCCCCGCCCTCTCCCCAGCAGACAGCATGTCCCTCTCCTCCTTGGGGGCAGCATCATTCAGTCCTCCTGGAGCCTCGGGGGTAGTGGCCTGCCAGGAGAGAAGTGGGCATCACACAGAACGCCTCGACCCTCCCACCCCCACATGGGGCGCAGTGGGGGCGGGTGCTGACGTCCTGGAGGGACCTGCCCCACCCCCGGCTGCAGGCCCTGAGCGGCCTCCCTGGGCCTCGCAGCTGACGGAGAGCCTTCCAGGGAGGCTCTTACCTCGGGGGCCTGCTTCTTCCCACTCCTCACTCTGCGTCTCTGCAGAGAGAAACGGCCATGGGTGCTGGGAGTCACCCCCACCACCACCTACCCAGCCTCTCAGGGTGTCCGCCCAGGACAGGGTGCCCCGACAGCCGCCCCCTCAGGGGAAGAGCCCGCCTCACCCACCTGAGTGGCCACGGGGTAGCACTTGTCCATCAGCCCCCACAGCGGCCTCAAGGTCTCTCCTGTGGACTGCGGGACAAGGAGAGAGAAGGGAGGCGGTGGGGACAGCTGAGGGCGCTGGCTCTGGTGGCGGGCAGCACTGAGGACCCGGGACTGGGGGACCTGCAGCGTGACCGCTGCCTTTAGGAAGAGAAATGCGCTCAGGAACAGAACAAGAACAGGCTCTAAAACAGAAACGTTCACATACCGGCCTCTGATGCTTGAAAACCCAAAGTGAGATACGCTTATGGGAATGGAAAGCCCAGTCGTAGTTAGAAGAGAAAGCTGAAAAAGCATTTCCCAGCAGAACAGAAAGATACCAGGACCAACAGCTAAATCAGCATCTTCCTGCAAGTGCCCACAGGCAGCACACTGGGGGACAGGAGACATTCCAAATACATTTTTTAAAATCTTTTAAAAAAATTTTTTATTGATCTCAGAGAGGAAGGGAGAGGACAGAGAGAGAAACATCAGAGATGAGAGAGAATCATCGACCAGCTGGCCTGCACGCCCCACACTGGAGATCAGGCCCCCACCCCAGGCCTGTGCCCTGACTGGGAATTGAACCCTAACCTCCTGGTTCATAGGTCAACGCTCAACCACTGAGCCACACCCCGGGCATACATTCCTTTTTCATCAGACAATTTCCCAAAGATGAGGGACAGGAGTTTTCCTAAGAGAAGGACTCGCCAAGTGTCTCTGACACGGATGAGGAAAGCCCACCTGCTGCCTTCAGTGCATTCAGAGAAAGAGGACACAGAGAAGAGCCCACAAGCTTCCAGATTTCAAAGGAAAAGGTCTGTTTCAGGAACCCAATCCCATCAGACTTTTAAACACAACATTTGAAGCCAGAAGGCAACGAGGAGCTGCAGGATCTGTGGAGTTATTTCATATCTAGAATTCCTAGCTCACTTTCAGGCGTGTGGATCGAGGCCCTTCAGACGTGTGGTATCACAGAACTCCCACCAGGAAGCCCCGAGCTTCCCACACATCCCACCAGGGCCTCACATGAGACAGGCAGCTGTAATTAGTACCGATCTGCAGAGGGCAGAGTACGAGCTTTAGAGTTAGACATGGGTTCAAATGCCACTCCACTGTGAGGGTGAAGAGGGGAGAAGCGGAGAGAGGCGGCCAGCCCTGGGGAGCCATTTGTGCTCTGGCCAAGGGCTGGGCAGGGCGCTTCTGCCACAGGTTCTTGGACTTGGGACATCAAGAGGCTGTGCAACCCCAGCAGGCGTCCTGCCCAGCACCAGCCATGCACATGAGCATGGAAGCACACTCCTGGGCTGCTCACATGCATGAGGAGCCACCTGCTCCTTTGGGTCTGTCCAGGCCACTGCCACGGAGCCCCGAGTGACCCACAGACAGCTCATGAGGGCTGGGGCCTATGTTTTGACTCTTTGGGAAAAGAGGAAATTTCTCCAGAACCCTCACTCCTCACACACACGCACACACACATGCACACGCACACACACACACACACACACGCACACACAATTGACCTAAGGTCAAGCAGCATGACCCCAGGAAGCCCACACCAGCCTGGAGGCCTGAGCAAGGTGCCTACCAGTGATGACTCCCCAGCAGTCTCGTGGTCAGAAGCTGTTTTCCCCCCGGGCTCCTGGAAATAATAGTATACCATTCCTGCAAATGGGCGAAGGAAGACTCGTTCAAACACTGGACAGAGTGATGTCATTATTTTAAAGTGTCACATCCCTTGACACAGAGAAATTAGGTACTAATTTAAAATGTGTGAGGGGATAAGCAGTCTTTCAAAATGCAAGCAAAAATTTGAAAGTCATTGTGTGCGACATTATTAGGTTGTGTGGGCTTTTGGGTTTGCGGGTTTGGGTGTATTTTTGCAGGGGGCAGAGTACGAGCTTTAGAGTTAGACATGGGTTCAAATGCCACTCCCCTGTGAGGGTGCAGAGGGGAGAAGCGGAGAGAGGCGGCCAGCCCTGGGGAGCCAGGCCTCTGGGCGCCCTGCCGGGCAGCTGGCAGCTGGGTGGCTGAGGGAAGCACCAGCTTCCCAGGCTCTGACGTCATCCCAGCTCCCCGAGCCCTGACACCTTCCCCAGCTCCCTGAGCAGAGGCCTTACCTGCTAGAATGAGGACCTGGACTAGGTACAGGACCCTGCAGAGCCTGGGAGGAAAGCAGGGTGAGTGCGAGGCTGGTCTCCCTGCCCTCACCATGGGTACCAGCTTCCCCCCACTCCAGGACCTGCCCTACAGCGCTGTGTCCTGTCACCACTGACTGCTGGCATGACGCCGTGCCTCTGCCTCCGTCACCAGCCAGACTGGGGGCCTAGCCGCTCCCTTCCTCCCTCCTCACCGAGTGTGCAAGCCCATCGCGCCCCTCCGCCAGGAGGCAGGCCTGGCCTCGGCTGGGCACTCAGTGCTGGGGCAGCTCTTCCCCCGCAGCCCTCCTGCCCGCCCTCCCCCGGACCGCCAGATCCCACAGGAGGCAGAACTCAGATTCCAGGCCACCGCCTCTTCTGTGACCCCTCGCTTGGGACAGTAGAGCATTTCGGGATTGCTAAAATGGTGGCATGCGCGCACACTCTCTCTCTGTTTCTCTCTCTCTCTCTCTCTCTCTCTCTCTCTCTCTCTCTCTCTCTCTCTCTCTCTCTCTCTGTCCCACCTACCAGAACCAGGCCCTCCACCCTGATTCTGAGTCCCAGAGACACTCTAACCGTCAGGGCAAAGCTGACAGAGAACCCTGTTTTCCCTTCCTCCTGGGCCCCTTCCTGGTCATTCGGGTGTGGTAACAGGCCGCACCCAAACGGTACCTCTCCTTCTGGCCGCAAATACCGAACACCATCTTCAGTCTGAGAAGGAAGAACAGGCCTCAGTCAATGCCTCACAGGCCCGGGCCCAGTGCTCCCGGCCTCGGGCTGCAGCAGTCACCACAGGCCCGAGGAGGGAGGGACCAGCACCGGAGCCTGGGAAATGCTCAGAACAAGATGGCTTCTGTGCCTCAGCGCTGGGAAGGCAGGTCCCAGGGAAGACAATGGGACAAGGCGGCAGGATAGGATGGAGAAAGGTATAGCTCTGTTGCACATTGGGTATAAAATGCCCCCAGGTGTAGGTGGTCAGTGATAATCATAAATAAAAATGGTTTAAAACAGTTTCCAGTATTTTCTGGGTTACAGAGCATTCTGGGGATACTTTGGGGAGTACTGAGGGCGGTTCCCTAGCTTCCTCAAACTATTCTTTCTGGAACCCCCGCTACAGGGTCAGCATTCCCTACAAATTGGCACCATGGCAAAGTCAAGGTCTCCAGTGTGAGCTGGACCCTGGAGGAAGCCAGGGAGCCTCTGCTTCCGAGTCAGCGCCCATCCCCTCAGGGGCTGGTTCAAACCTCGCCAAAGACTCAAAGCTTCATCAGATGCCAGTTCCCTTCACCTCCTGCCACCAACCCCTCCCCTTCATTCCCTGCTTCTCACAGGCCAATTCCTCCTCCGGAGTGGCTGCCTCCCCTCTGAGGCCACCCCTCCATGCTGCATTCCAACCTGGGCGCCTGGGGGCCTCCTCTCTCCTATATTCAGCCTTTCCTCCTCCAATGGCTCCTTCCCGTCAGCATTTAAACATCACTCAGCCCTAACCGGTTTGGCTCAGTGGACAGAGCATTGGCTTGTGGACTAAAAGGTCCCAGGTTCAATTGCGGTCAAGGGCATGTACCTTGGTTGCGGGCACATTCCCAGTGGGGAGTGTGTGGGAAGCAGCTGAATTGGTGTCTCTCTGATTGATGTTTCTGACTCTCTATCCCTCTCTCTTCCTCTCTGTAAAAAAAAATCAATAAAAATATATTTGAAAAAAATAAACACATCCCTCATTTCTTCCGTTAAAAAAAAAATCCCCTCTCTCTGAACCCACAACCCTTCTCAGTGAGGGTCCTAGCTGGCCCCTCCCCTTCACACCGCCCTTGAGAGACCATCTACACGCCCCACAGCCTGCCTCTATCTGATTCTGACCCCACAGTCCTTGAAACCTCTCAGCAAAGGCACCATGTGCTCCCGGGCACCAAATCCAGGGCCCTCCGGCCCGGCTTTCTCAGGGCCGCAGGGGCCTCAGCACCAGGGCCGGTCACCTCTGGGAGCACCGGGGCCGGTCACCTCTGGGAGCACTGAGCCGGTCACCTCTGGGAGCACCGGGCCGGTCACCTCTGGGAGCACCGGGCCGGTCACCTCTGGGAGCACCGGGCCGGTCACCTCTGGGAGCACCGGGCCGGTCACCTCTGGGAGCACCGGGGCGGTGTCTCCAGCAGAAGCTTTGCTAGTGTGTATAACAGTGAGAGCCATGCTTTCTGTGCCGAGGTTGGAGAAGGAGAGGGGAGAGAGTCCTGAAGGAGAGGAGAAGGGGTAGCCAGGCAGGAAGGGAGGCCCACAGGGAGGCGGAGTCACAGAGACAATGTTCACTGCTTAGGCTGCTTCCTGCCTTTGGGCCCACTTACCCAATACGCCAAGCTTGGCGCTTCCTTTGACCAGGTCAGTGTCAGGCAGCCTGCCCACCTTTCCACTGAGGGCACTGGAGCTGCTAAGGCTAGGAATCCAGATACAGCCCCTCCCTTCGCAGGGAGAGTGATCTGTGTGACATCACATCTCTGGGGCTTTGTGACAGGGCACCCTCTCCCGCCTGGGCCAGGGCAGGTGTCAGCTGCCTCAGGGCGGCTTTTGTCCCCACCGCCAGAGCCAGCACCTTTGTGGACGTCTCTGGTTCCATTCAACGCCATCAATGCTGTGCAAACACACAAAGCTGTTAGAGTCAGGCTTGTCACATAATACAATAAGCACATCTTCTGGATCAAAAGCAAGAACACAGCCTGACAATTTCTAAGACTCACCCAGTCATCTGATCAGTGTCTGCTGAGCTTCCACTGGGGCCAGGAATAGCACAAAGGGGATAGAAAGGTAATAGGACGCAGAGCCTGCCCTTGGGGACCTTGAAGAAATCAAATAAACATCTTCCAGTTGAAGAGAATTACTGTAAATGTCACTAAGTGATAATTACAAAACTATGAATGGTTGAAACTACCAAACGCCTGAGTTCCACATCCACATGAAACATTTAGATAAACCATAAAACAAGTCCCAGTAAATTTTAAAAGAGTAAAGTTATTTCAAGTAAGTCCTTTGACCATAATGGAATTAAATTAGAAATCAGCAACAGAAAACTCTCTGGAAAAATCCCCAGATATTTGGAACTAAACAACATACCTTTAAATAATATATGGGTAAAATTAAAAGTCAAAAGGGGCCCTGGCTCAGAGCATCATTCTGATATGCCAAGGTTGCAAGTTTGATCCCTGATTAGATCACATACAAGAAACAACCAATGAATGCATAAATAACTGCAACAATAAATCAATGTTTCTCTCTCTCAAAAATCAATAAATAAAAAACATTTTTAATTCTCATTAGAGGGATTCCTATCCATGAATGCAAACATGAAATTCCAACTGCACAGTGCATGCCCCACTCGCACCTGCTGACTGCTACAGCAAACCCTGATTAAATAAGTGCTAAAACAGTGGCACAGACTCCAGGACCTGGGGTTTCACATGAGTCATAAGTAATTGAGGGATTATTGTCCCTCACTCCAACCCAGAATTCTGTCCAGATTCAGGAGCGTATGCATTGCCAAGGCTTTATGAAGGCAAGGACTATGTCTTCATCTTCTCTCTGTCCTCTGTGTTTGGCTCAGTGGTTGGCAGAGAACACCACACGGAAATATTTGACAAATGCCTAACATGGTCACGTGGGTGAGTGGCAGGGCCAGAGTCCCAGAGTCCCGCCTACTCCTCTGTGCTTCTGACATCCATGACTAGCCCCGTGCTCTGTAGGTGCTCCCTCTCCAGGCAGCAACCTGAAGTGATGAGGTTGTCCTCAGGGCCAGCTTCCTAGGCGGACTCAGAAGGGCCTCGCTTGGTACACCACCTCGTCCCTCCTGGGGAGGATCAGAGGACACCTAACCGAGATCAGGACTTTCACCTCTGATCATAGACAGGTCTCCTGGGAAGACTAGTGGGGAGCTGGGACTCTAACTCTCGCTAATTACTATGCAGAGCCCCACCCCTTAGTGTCAACTGAGGCTGAGTGAGGAGCCTGGACTTCTACTCACAGTAACAAGGAAGCTCTTCCCCTTCCCCTGCTGGTGTCAAAGGAAGCCAGCTACAAGAGAAAGTTTAAATGAGACCCAGCAGTGAGTGGTCAGAGATGGTAGAATTATCTGATAAAGATTTAAAGCAGACATTATAAACATGCTTCAACAAGCAATTATGTACATGCTTGAAACAAAATAATAAAATAATCTCAGCAGAGAAACCATAGATATAAGGAAGAACCAGATGAAAATTTTAGAACAACTGAAATAAAAAGCTCAGCGAATGGGTTCAAAAGCAGAAAACAGAAAATAACCAGTGGCCTCGAAGATAAAACAGTAGAAATTACTCAATTTGAACAACAGAAAAAAACAGACTGAGGAAAAATGAACAGAGCCTCAGGGACGTAGGTCTACACAAAGATCAAGCATCACCTGACTAGTCTGGCTCAGTGGATGGAGAGTCGGCCTGAGGACTGAAGGGTCCCAGGTTTGATTCCAGTCGGGGGCATGTGCCCGGGTTGCAGGCTCAATCCCCAGTGGGGGTGTATGGGAGGCAGCTGATCAATGATTTTCTCCATCACTGACATTCCTCTCTCTCTCTCTCTCTCTCTCTCTCTCTCTCTCTCTCTCTCTCTCTCTCTCTCCCTCCCTCCCTTCCTCCCTCCCTCTCTCCTTCCCTCCCTCTCTCCCTCCCCCTCTCTCCCTCCTTCTCCCCTCCCTCCCTCTCTCTTTCACCCTTCTTCTCTGAAACCAATAAAACTCTATTTAAAAAAAATCAAGCATCATGTCATCAGAGTCTTGGAAAGAGAGGAGAAAGGCAGGGCTGAACAATCTTCCAAATTGTGTAAAAGGCATGACAGTCCCAAGAAGTTGAGTAAACCCCAAGCAAGATAAATTCAAATCAATTTGAATGACAACTGACTACAGAGGCTAGAAGAAAATGACACAACATTTTTCTAAGTGTTGAACTGAACTGTCAACCCAGACTCCCATATCCAATGAAAATATCCTTCAGAATGCTGAAAAGAAATCAGGAAATTATCAGATTAAAGAAAACTAAGAGAACTTATCACCCACTGATCCTATATAATAAAAGGATCAGTCAATTTATCCTATATAATAAAAGCCTAATATGCAAATTGCCCCCTCAAGCAGTCCTTCCACCGGAAACCAGGAATTCAACAGCTCACTATGACATGCACTGACCACCAGGGGGCGGCAGGAACATGGTGGGCATCAGAGATGCAGCACTGGCAGTGGGCAGCAGTGGAGGCACTGCTGGCCCCTGATGGGTCCCGACAAGAGCGGGACTGCAACAGGATGGTGGAGCAGGTGAGCAGACAGCACCAGGCCAAAGCGGGTAGGAATGGAGGCCTGATCGACCTGCCAATTGCCCCACAGATGGTGACCAGTGGCAGCGGCAGGGGGCAGGGCCACCGCCCCACTCTCAGGCACTGAGGCAGCCGGGCGGGGGCCCAGCCTCGATCAATCACTCTGCAGACTGGATGGTGAAAACATAAGGGGGCAATGCTAGGCCAAGGCAGGGTGCCAGGCAGGGCTGCGAGCCTGTGGGTACAAGCTGGGGTCCCCACAGGCCACCCAAGGGACCCCAGCCATGCACGAATTCGTGCACTGGGCCTCTAGTATTTAATAAAGGTGCAAAAGCAATTCAGTGGAGGCAGGTCGGCTTTTCAACAAATGATTCTGGAGTAATCAGACAGCATTGAAGATGAAGATGATGATGAAGAAGCCGAAACCGGTTTGGCTCAGTGGATAGAGTGTCGGTCTGCGGACTGAGGGGTCCCAGGTTCGATTCCGGTCAGGGGCATGTGCATTGGTTGCAGGCATATCCCAGGTTGGTGGGGGAGGTGCGGGAGGCGGCTGGTCGATGTTTCTCTCTCATAGATGTTTCTAGCTCTCTATCCCTATCCCTTCCTCTCTGTGGAAAATCAATAATATATATATATATGAAGAAAAAGACAAAGAAGGAGGAGGAGGAGGAAAGAGAAGAAAAGAGAAAGAAGAAAGATGAAAAGAGGAGAAGAAACTTGACCTAAATCTAATATCTTATACAAAAATTAACTAAAAATGGGTCACATACTTAAATATAATAAGTTTTCTTCTTAATTATAGGTTCCTAAATTTGACATCAATAGCACAATCCATAAAAGGAAAAAAATTGATAAATCGGCTTTCATCAAAATTAAACACTTTTGCTCTGTGAAAGACCTTGTTGAAAAGATTGAAAAACAAGCTACAGAGTGGGGGAAATCCTCACCCAAGAATACTTTTCAACTGATTTTTGGAGAGAGTGGAAGAGAGAGGGAAAGACAGAGAGAAATATCGATTGAGAGAAACACATGGACTGGTTGCCCCCGCAAGAACCCTGCTGACCAGGGCCCAGCTGAGGGAGGAGCCGCAGTGGAGGTACGTGCCCTTTACCGGAATCGAACCTGAGACCCTTTGGTTCAAAGGTCAACACGCTCTATCCAAACCTACTAAGGCCAAATAGAGCATTTTTCTTTTTTAAGGTGAAGGTGATGAAAGTAAGAAGGTATCATTAAAATATACTGGATTTACACATTTGAAAAATCATCAGAGATCATTTTTCCTATGGCATTATTGAGATATAATTTACATACCATAAAATTTATCTTTCACCCATTTGAATGTGTAAGTCAGAGAATTTTAGCATATTTACAAAGTTGTGCTCTAGCATCACACACTAATTTTAGAGCATTTCCATCGGCCTAAATAGAAACTTCATGCTACATTCACTCCTCATTCCCACCTCACACTTGACAACTATAATTTACTTTCTGCTTGTATATATTTGCCATTTCTGAACCCTTCACGCAAGTGGAATTATCTGATATGTGCTGTGTCTAGCTCCTTTCACTTAGCATGTCTTCAAGGTTCATTGTGGCTGAAGAATATTCCATGGTATGAATGTACCATATTTCATTTATACACTTTTTCCCTTGTCCATCCAGTTGATGGACTTTTGTGTTGTTTCTATTTTGGGCTATCATGAGTAATGCTGCTATGAACATTCATATAAAAGTATCTGTGGGGACAAATGTTTTTATTTTTCCTAGGTAGATACCTAGAATTGTAATTTCTGGATCATATAAAAAGTCGATGTTTAACTTTTTAAGAAACTGCCTGACTGTTATCTAAAGTGGCTGCACCGTTTCATATTCTCACCAGCAATGTATGAGGGTTCTGCCAAAGCCAGTTTGGCTCAGTGGTAGAGCGTCCGTCTGTGGACTGAAAGGTCCCAGGTTCGATTCTGGTCAAGGGCATGTGTGCTGGTTGCGGGCACATCCCCAGCTGGGGGGTGTGCGGGAGGCGGCTGGTCGATGTTTCTCTCTCATCGACGTTTCTGGCTCTCTATCTCTCTCCCTCTCTGTAAAAAATCAATAAAAAATAAAAAAATAAAAATGTATGAGGGTTCTAATTTCTCCATATCCTCGATAACACTATTTTCTTTGATTTTTCACAGAGAGGAAGAAAGAGGGATAGTTAGAAACATCGATGAGAGAGAGTCATTGATCAGCTGCCTCTTGTACACCCCCTACTGAGGATGTGCCCGCAACCAAGGTACATGCCCTTGACTGGAATCGAACCCGGGACCTTTAAGTCCACAAGCCGACGCTCTATCCACGGAGCCAAACCAGTTTCGGCTATTTTCTTCTTTATTCTAGGCATTCTAGTGGGTGAGTGGTATTATGGTTTTGACTTGCATTTACCTAGTGATTAATGATATTGTCTTTTCACATACTTGTTGATCATTTGTATATATTTTTTAAATAAATAAAATAAAATAATACTTTTTATAGTTAATTTTGACTTCCACATATCCGACTCCACCCCCAACATACATACACTCACAGCCTCCCCACTATCAACGTCCCTTGGCAGTGACATATTGTTACAATCAATGAACCTACACTGACACATCATTGTCACCCAAAGCCCATAATTGGCATTAGGGTTCACTCTAGGGGTCTGAGCATGGATAACGGCATTACCCCCCACCACAGCATCATACAGGATGGTTTCACTGCCCTAAAAACCCTCTGTGCTCCACCTATTCATCCCTTTCTCCTCCCAGCCTCTGGCAGCCAGCCATCTTTTCACTGTCTCCACAGTTTTGCCTTTATCAGAAAGTCATTTAGCTGGAACCACACAGTATGTCGCCTTTTCAGAATTGCTTCTTTCACTTAGGTATGTCTGTTTAAGTTTCCTTTGTGTCTTTTCATGGCTTGATAGCTCATTTCTTCCTAGCACTGAAGAATAACTTAACGTCTGCACATGCCACTGTTTATTTATTCAGTCGCCTCCTAAAGGACTTCTTGGTTGCTTCCAAGTTCTGGAAATTATGAATATAAACATCCATGTGCGGATCTCCTGTGGACCTAATACCAAGGAGTCTGATTGCTGGAGCATATGTTCAGAGTATGTTTAGTTTCGCCCCGCCGGCACGGCTCAGTGGTTGAGCACCGACTTGTGAACCAAGAAGTCAAGATTGTGGACTTGATCTCTAGTGTGGAGCGTGAGGGAGGCAGCCAATCAATGATTCTCTCTCATCATTGTTCCGGTCTCTCCCTCTCCTTTCCCCTCTGAAATCAGTAAAAATATATTTCATCATAAAAAGAGTATGTTTAGCTTTGTAAGAAACTGCCAGACTGTCTTCCAAAGTGGCTGTATGATTTTGCATTCCCACCAGCAATAAATGAGAGTTCCTGCTACCTCACAGCCTCATCAGCATCTGGTGTCACCTTTGCTCATTTGTGTGTGTGTGTGTGTGCGCGTGTGTGTGTTTAAGAGCGAGCGAGAGAAACATTGATTTGTTGTTCCAGTTACTTACGCATTCATCGGTTGCTTCTTGTATGTATCCTGACCGGGATGGAACTATGACCTCCTGGTTCATGGTCAATGCTCAACCACCAAGCAACGCTGGCCAAGCACCTTTGCTCATTTTTAATTGAGCTATTTGTCTTTTTATTATTGAGTTGAGAGAGCCTTTTACAAAGTCTAGATACAACTCCCTTAGGATTTACAAATATTTTCCCCAGTGTGTGGTTTGAGAAGCCCTTTATTATGTTAATGAAAAGGAATATTAACATTAGATTTGATAGTGTTTACACCTGGAGGAGGCAGGAGCATGGACTAAGTTAAGTTACGCAGACAGGTATCCTACAGGTGCTATGAGAGGTAGAGCACACGCTCTGGAGCTACCACCTAGGTCTCAACCCAAAGCTGCTAAGTAACTTAGTCTGTGTCTCAGTTTTCTTATCTGTAAAGTGGGTTCAACAACACTTACCTCACAGGTGTGTTGTGAGGCTTAAGCGAGTTAATGTGCCTGGAGAACTTAAAAGAGTGGTTACCCGGTATATAGTGTACTTTATAGAAACCTTGTTACCAATTCTTCTTATTTTTTTTAATAAATATATTTTATTGACTTTTTACAGAGAGAAAGGGAGATAGAGAGCTAGAAACGTCGATGAGAGAGAAACATCGACCAACTGCCTCCTGCACACCCCCAACCGGAGATATACCCGAAACCAAGGTACATGCCCTTGACCGGAATCGAACCTGGGACCTTTCAGTCCGCAGATCGACGCTCTACCGCTGAGCCAAATCGGTTTCGGCGACTGTTACCAATTCTTAAGTTGGGTACTGGGATTCAGAAGTTTTATTGTCATGCTTTATCATTTATATGTTACATGCTTTCTTTTGTATAGCTCCTTCAAATATACAAATACAGCCCTAACTGGTTTTGTTCAGTGGATAGTCTGCAGACTGAAGGGTCCTGGGTTCGATTCTGGTCAAGGGCATGTACCTTGGTTGCAGGCACATCCCCAGTAGGGAGTGTGCAGGAGGCAGCTGATGGATGATTCTCTCTCATTGATGTTTCTAACTATCCCTCTCCCTTTCTCTCTGTAAAAAAATCAAGAAAATAGATTTTTTTTTTAAATAAATGTACAAATACATTTTAAAATAAAAGGAGAATAATATCCACACTTTTAATCCTTCAAAATTAGAGAGTGGGCTAGAGGCAGGGCCATACCCCTGCTGGTCCGGGGCCCAGAGCTCAGCTCAGCCCCGGCTCCTGTGAGGACATTCACAAGGAACCTGAGCCTGAACCCCAGGAGGAGGCGGGGGCGGGAGACCCAAAGCCGCCTCAGTTTCCTCACCTGTAAAATGGGGCTCTCACTGCACCTACCGACCCGTGAGGTTAACGCAGGCCGGTGACTCCGCAGAGCCCGCGGTCCTGTCACTCTGTCCCCTTCGCGCTCAGAGTGAACTGGCAGGAAAATGCCAGAAAAGAGAGAGACCCGGAAAGGCCAGTCAAGGCGCCTCAGCTCCAAAGAGCTGGGCTGTTCTTCACAGAAATCCACAAACGTCCGTGTGGGAAGTGGGGCTGAAAATATAACCTACCTCCCCGGGCTGTGGAGAAGCGTCGAGAAACGCTTCACCAGGAGAGCGCGTTCACGCTCCATCGCAGAGGGGTTTATGGGGGGAAAGTTGCAGAAACGCCACAGAAGGGCCAAGCCGGCGCCACAGCAGCCCAGGCGCCATTATCTGCCTCAGCCGCCACCTAGGAGCCCGCGGCCCGCGGGAGCCGACCCAGGAGGCTGCGAGGCGGCGCGCCAGCCGGCTTCCCCCGGGCGGGACGCGTCGCCGGGAGACCAGGCAGCTCGCGGCCGGGCGCCAGGCTGGGAGCCGAGTGCCCCCTGGCGGCGCCGTCGGGCGACCGTTAGAACCTCCAGCCGACAACTTTGCGTTTCTGCTGATGAGCGTGAGCAGCCACCAACCGATTTTCTTCCATCCAGAGAGACAGGCCTTCCGACCAATCAGAGAGCCCGAAAACCGCGCTCCCGCCCACCCGTGGGATTTAGGGGCGTGGCCTTCCACTTTAGCCAATAAGCAAAGACTTTCGTCCTCCGTCCGCACTATTTGGGTTGGAAGGGGGCGGGGTTGGGAAGTGGTTTCCTTAGCAAGATGGCGGCGAGCGGCGTCCGCCGGGCGGCTGCCGCCGCCAGCACCTCGGTGAAGCCCATTTTCAGTCGGGACATGAAGGAGGCCAAGCGGAGGGTGCGCGAGCTCTACCGCGCCTGGTATCGGGAGGTGCCGACCACTGGTGAGAGGCATCGGCGAACGCGGGGCCCTGGAGGCAGCCGCTCAAGGTCGCAGCCCTCCGGCCTCTGATTTCTCTCGGGTCTGCCAGAGGCGACCCCACGTGTTTCAGGGGAGGAGGGTCACCGAGCCTCGGTGGACCCGGCCTGGCAGGGGGGCCGGGGTCAGACCACCGGTGTCCAGCACCGCTTTTGGGCGCCCTCCGCGCTTTGTCTCCCATGCCCCCTCTTCCCCCTCCCCCCGTCTCCCCTCTTCCTCTCCTTCCCCCCCCCCCCCCAAACCCTGTAATTCAAAACGAGACCTGGGAGGGGGAGCAAGGACTCTCAATGACTTACTCACTGTGCAGGGAGGGAACTGAGGCACGGAGGCGAAGTGGCTGCCCAGAGTCCAGAGCTAGCTGGTGGGTCTGGAACCCAAGGCAACTGTAGCTTCAGAACATGTCCAACCCCCCCGGGTTACCTGTACAGCCAGAGAGGCTGTGGGCTGGGCCATCGTCTGCTTCCCACAGCTCTCACAAAGGAAGAAACTGAACCGGAGGAGGGAAGTGACTTTCCCAAGGTCATCCATGTCAGGGATGCCTCTTCCCCCCAGTGAGGTGTTCGCCCCTCCCCCTTCAATCTCTAAATCTTGCTCCGCATGCTGTTTCTGCCTGCCCCTAGTAATCCTTAGGAGCCCCCCCCCCCCCCCCCCCGCCCTCCGCTACTTCAGAACTGCAATCGCCTAGATGTCAGAGAACCCGTCTGTTCACCCGATGTATTAAGTATAAACCGCAGGGGGCAGACCTTCCTTATCATGGCATCCCCCTCAGTGCTTCCCACCCACTGTACCACATGAAAGGAAGGTTGGGGAAAGCCCTCCAAACTGTCAAGGGCAGTCGGTACTCATGTTTTATGTCATTGACTGTATGTGTGTTAATGCACGCCATCGCTGCTAGTCTGAGAGGGAAGGCGTTTTTAAGCTAGGGGGAGCACCACAGCACCTCTTCGGGCTGTGTGACCAGTAGAAGGTGGTGGCTGCTGAACTTGCCTCCAGACCTTGCCCCTTACTCGCTTTGTGACCTTGGGCAAGTGATTTCACTTTGCTGTGCCTCAATTTCCTCATCTATCAAATGAGGATAATAGTACCTTCTTCCAAGAGTTGCCATATTAAATAGGTTAATATCTCTAGAGTCTTAGTTTAGGGCCTGGTGCTTAGGCACTCCTAAGTGTTGGCTGCTACTTTTTTATTGCTGTTATTACCACTATTGTTATTCAGAGGGCTTACCCTCGAAGAAGCCTCCCTGTAGAGGTTCTCTAAGGAATATTTTAATATTGCTATTTGACCTTTCTCTATAATAGAAGTGTCAGAGATGAAAGAAAATTAGTAAAATGTATATGAAATCTTCCTCTTGTCAGAGTCTGGGGTGTGCCAGGGCAGGAGGAGGGGGGGGCAGAGTCAAGTCCCCGCCCACCTGGGGCACCTCAAAATCTGGTGAGACCCAGAACCGCCAGGCTGGGGGCGCAGCCTTAGGGCTGATGTCAAGCCCCACAGGGCGGGGGGCACAGCCTCAGGTCCTCTGGCCCGGTACCAGGGTGGGTGGCACAGCCTGAGATTCCCTGGCCCAGCACCAGGGCGGGGAGTGCACCCTGGGTCCCCTGTCAAGCCCTACTGGGCGGGGGGCACAGCCTCAGGTCCCCTGCCCCGGCCCAGCACCATGCAGCCTCAGGTCCCTGCTGGTTGCTCTTTAAGGGAACTCAACCTCTGCTGTGGTACTGCCATCTTTGTGATAGTGTCACAGTCAATTTGCATATTCCCTCTTTATTATTTCATATATAGGATTGCACCTACCTCACAAGGCTTTGTTCATGCCCTTGTTATCAGCAAATCCACTGTGGGCTGACTGCCTGGGATGGGAATAAAATGACTGCAATCTAATTTTCAAAGGACATCCATGTGCTCCACGTGAAGTCCAGGTCATTGAGTCTCTGCCCTTGTTTCAGGCACATATTTAACCAGGGATTGCTGAATATTGTGATTTCATGTTTAGAATTTAAGACCAAGAGAACAGGACCTATGTCAAACTTCTCTCTTCTTCCCCCAGTAACCTAACATGATAGTGCCAGCCTGATCGAAGCCCTCCCTGCCTGCACAATCCCTCAGCATTCTCCCTCAACTCACAAACCCACACATCATTTTACCTTCATTCCAACCTGTTATCTTTTGGCAAATGTTCCATATAATGTAATACTAATTTATTGAGGGTGTATTCCATGTCAGGCACTGTTCTGGGCACCTCGCATTGTTAGAATCCTCCCAACAGCTCTGGAGTTAAATGTGCTGTTGTTATCCTCATTTCATCATATATAATGCTCTCAGGCCCAGAGAAGTTAACGTACACAGGGAAATGTAGCTGGCAAGTGACAGAGACAGACTTTGAACCCAGGTCGTTCATACACTTGGACTATGCCCTTACTGTCCTTCAAATGCAGTGGCCTTGTCTCCCCAAACAAAATATAAGCTCTTTGAGGGCAAGTCTCACACTTTTTCACATCCTCAACCACCTAGCTTGGGGTCAGGCTAGTTTTTGGCAGCCTCTATGTGTTTAATGAATATTCATAGATCAAAAATTTAAAAACTTGTTTTAACCATATAATTTCTACCCTGGTCATGTTTTCTCTTTAGTGAACTTATTCCAGTTGGACATCTCCGTGAAACAGGGACGGGATAAAGTCCGAGAAATGTTTATGAAGAATGCCCACGTCACAGACCCCCGAGTGGTGGATCTTCTGGTCATTAAGGTAACTGACTTCCTGACCGATTTAGAAGAACGCCCAACTTGTCCAGAGCTTTCCAGTCTTCCCAGGTGAACATTTTGTTTCCAAGTTTAAAAAGCAACTGCTGGGTCAGCAACTGTCGCCTGGAACAGTTGAACTTGGAGGTTATCGCCTGGATAAAGACTTAAGATTGTTCAAGGGAAAACCCATCAGGGCTTGCATTTTATAACTACAAAAGGTGTAGGGATGAAAGTTTGAACACTTCAACTCTTCCCTAGAGGTTACTGCCTCACCTGGTTGCCAGCTTACAGCTGGAAGAGGCTGGCCGGTTGGCCGAGTCCTGTGTGAATGGGGTCAAATCCTGGCCCTGATTCTGTCTCTGATCAGTCATGAGCATCAAAGGAGGGAGCTTCAGCATGTTAAGCAGAAATATGTTAAGCCTGTCAGGTTAGGCATCATGGGACAGGGGCCCATTGACCTGGAAGTCTCTCCTTAGACCGGTCAGCCACAGTTAAAGAATATTTGAAAGCCCTCAGCTATCACTTAGTACAACACCTGTTTGCAGATGCAGAAACCGGTCTAGACAGAGTACATTACTTACCCAAGGTCAGTCTAGTCAGTGTCAGAGCAGAAAGTAGAATCCTGGCCTTCAGTGTAGTATTCCTTTCACTGGACCACTTTGATGAAGACCTCTCCCCTCACTGTGCAGGGAAAGATGGAACTGGAGGAAACTATCAAAGTGTGGAAGCAGCGGACACACGTGATGCGGTTCTTCCATGAAACAGAAGCTCCAAGGCCAAAGGATTTCCTGTCCAAGTTCTATGTTGGCCACGACCCATGAAGTCATTCAGTGGGAAGGTGCATGTTGATATTTAAGTACTTTATATTCAAATAAACTGTTTATGATGGTCACTTTGTCTCATAGGACTCCATTGGTGAACCAATGCGAGGCTGTTTCTGCAGTCTCTTACTTTCTCCTGAACAAGCGGGGTAGGGGTTTACACAGCACCTGTTCCCTTTTCCTGGAGTGTGGGGTTGCCGATAAATGAGTGGATTCTCTTCTCAGAGCCTTGCATGTGGTAAATAGGAAATACAGGCCATCTGTTCAGAACCTGTCATACTGGGTATGAGGCTGGATGACTTCGGTAATTTAGCTCTGTTTCTACAGCCTCCAGGATTGGATGGTTAGTGTCATCACACAGATTATCCCAAATTAGCCAGCTCTTGCTGTTGGAGAGGGAGGAGAGCAGCTCTAAGGCACAGAAGCAGAGAACACAAACAGGGCTATTTTCCCTGGGTTTTGGAGGAAGTGGCTGATCAGAGGCCTAACCTCTGTTTGCAACAAGCAGGGGTCCTTAAAATAAAACGAACTTCCTACTCAATTAGGCTCCCCACTGGGACACACATGTTCAGTGCACACCCAGAGAACAAATATCCCAACTGTTTTTGCAAACAGTTGCAGCTTCCAAGTGACAATAAGTGTTGGACCAGGTGAAGGGACCTCTGCTTTGGACAGCAGTCTTCTCCGTTCCTTCCCTGGACGGTCTAACAGCTGGAGAAGGGCTCACTATAGTCACCCTTAGAATTCACAAATTTTTCAGCACCAACATTCTATTTTCATCTAAGAAACCAAATTTTAAAATAATAATTTTTATATTTTGTAGTTTTAAACTAATAACCAAAGCTTTGATAGACTGCATGTGATGATTAGCCAGTGTTATTCCACACAAAAGTCTGAGGGTTTAGTTAGCCTGTGCAGCTTTACTGAGGAAAAAGTTTCTGTTGGGGTTTTGTTAATCATGAAAATAGGTGCCAGGCCCCATAATTATGGATCCATAAAGGCCTGGAGACCCTGGGTTGTCAATCTATGGCTTATTAGAGAACAAACAGCAGAGACAAGAAACTACAACAGCTAGAACCTACTCATACTGAGAAACCCAGCCATCACTCATACATAGTTGGCATTTGTCGTGTTTATTCATCATCTGGCTATGCTCAGTGGAGTGCACACCTCGGGGAACCTCCCAGCGCTGGGACAGAGGGCTGTGGTCATGGACCGTGCAGGAGGCTTCACTGGAGTTGGGAGGCTGAGGGCTTTCCTTAGTCCCTTCTGCTGATAGGCAAGGAGGAGGGGCTAAGCATCACCATTTCTTGATTCAGTCAGGGCTTTCTCTTTCCTGAACTTCAGCACCTGTAAGAAAGGAAAGCAGCATGAACTGGGCAGCAGCAGCCCTTTATCCACATACTGAGAGAGAATTCCAGAATGGTCCCATCAAACAGGAGAGAAGCGGTTTTCAGTAAATTCATTCGTACATTTACTAAGCATTCACCACAGACCAGGCATGGGGCCCTAAATGTATAAAAATCATTTCCCTGCCAGCAGGAAGCTCACAGTCTAGTAGAGTTTGGGGTGTATGAGTTCAAACATAATATGGAGGGTCACCAGAGAGGTACTGGCCAGTCAGAAGGAGCAATCACTTTCAAATGGAGGAATGTGGGAAGACTTCATCAAAGAGAACGAAGCGGTGGAAATGGAGCAGTGGACATTGTCTTCTAAGTGGGAGGAACAATGAGCCAGTGCTTGCGAGTGATGATCCAAGAACTGGTGAGCACTAAGGATAGGTGTGACGCTGGGAACATGGAAGATGAGGCTAGCATAGGTGTGACCAGATCATGGCAAGCTTTGAATACCAGACTAAAGAATCAGGAGTATCTTTATCTATGACAATAACGCAGCCACACAATGCATATCAGAGCACCGGAAGTCAACACAGGAAGCTGAGTGGGACGTGTACTGGAGGAAGGGTTTATGAGCATGGTGACCATGTACAGGCTGTGCTGGTGCAGAGCTTGGTAATCAGAGCTGTCCATGGTGAGAATCTACAGTTTCTAAATTTCCATTTGAAGCACTGCAATTAAGCTGTTTGTAGTGAGTGTGTAAGTGTCTAGGAAATTTTGGGGTGGTGAGGACGAGGCACATGAAGGGCAAATGAGCCCTTGCTGGTGGCTCAGTTGGAGTGTTGTCCTGTACAACCAAAGGTTGCAGGTTCGATTCCTGGTCAGGACACACCAAGTTTGTGGATCACCAGTTGGGATAGGTACGGGAGGCAACTGATAGTTTTCCTCTCACACTGTTCCTCTATCTTTTAAAAATTAATAAAAACATATCCTCCGGTAAGGATAAAAATAAATAGATAAGAGATTAAATTAGATAGACAGGTAGTCTGGCTGTGGTCCAACCTAGTTGGAAGAAATCCCAGTGAATTTATGTCAATAAGACAGTTTCCCTCATCCTACATAGAGAAAAGGCAAACTAAAAACAGTAGCTACCAAATGAGTCAATTCATTAAAGGTCTGCACTTCAAGTGTCCCCCAGGCCAAACTACCAGTTCAGACTCCACCCCCTTCTGCTCCTGGCCCGTGCAGGGAACAGCCAGTCTCACCTGTTAGTCGTCGTCATCGTCGTCCTCTGGGACGAAGATGTCATGCTCCTCAAGCAGAGCGGCAAAGTTCTTGCTAATGAGCGTCCCCACGTAGAGGAAGGGGATCACAATGGAGAACACCCGGAGAAGGCCGAAGGACATCTGCGGGGGGGTCAGAGCGGTGGCTGTGAGCGCCAGGGCCCACTGTGCCAGGTGCAGAGGCCTGCCCTCCCATGGTCACTCCCTCCTATGGACTCCAGCCCCATCTTAAACTTGATTGTAAAGTCGTTGGGAAAACTCAGAGCGAAAATTATAAGAAGAGGTAAGTGATTTTATGGCCATCAAAGTGGATACCAGAAAGGAAAGATAAAGGTATTCTAGACATCTGAAAACTGGAGCCCATGCCCTGGCTGGTGGCTCTGGCGGCGTCTGTATACTGAAATGTTGCAGGTGGGATTCCCAGCCGGGGCATCTACAGAAGGCAACCAATCTATGTTACCTCTCACATCGATGTTTCTCTCTCTCTACTCCTTCCCCCTCTCTAAAATCAATAAGTATGTCCTGGGTGAGGATTAAAAAATAAAATAAAGCTCAGCCAGTGTGGCTCAGTGGTTGAGCTTCAACCTATGAACACATGCCAAGGCACATGCCAGAGTTGTGGGCTTGATCCTCAGTGGGGGGAGGAGGATGCAGAAGGCAGCTGATCAATGATTCTCTCTCATCATTGGTATTTCTCTTTTCCTCTCCCTTCCTCTGAAATCAATAAAAACATGATTCAAAATAAAATAAAAATTGGAGCACAATATGGTCATTATTTGCAGATACTTAGAGAAACAGGTGAGAAAGTACTAAGAGGGCTAGACTCTGGAAGTAAAGTTCAGTTTTACTTGAAGACACTATATACATGAAAATGGATTATAAAAAGATGTACACAAAAAAGATATTCTTTAGAGTTCTTGAAATAACAGGTTTCCTAATGGCAAATTTTATTTCACCAAATTAAAATTTAGAAACAGTTGTTTTGAAAAGTGAGCATGTTTTTTACACTGAAAGTCTAACTTTTTAAATGGACTGGGTTGTTTCGTAAAATCTCAACATTTTCTCTTGTATTTTCCAATGGGGTTTCAAACATTTTTCAGATATGTCTTTTTATAAGGCATCTCTTCCCCTACGCGCACCCTGCACTTCTTGCGTCTGGCTATGAAACAGCTGGGAACTCACCTGTCTGTGTGAACTAGCACAGGCCGGCCTAGCTTTTAAGAATTTTTGTTTTGAAATCCCCACACGGTTTGGGGAGTCAAAAAGCCAACTTGTTTTGTATAAGGCGTGTTTATATTTTACTTAGAAAGCCCGGGGTGTTGACATGTGAAGGCATTCAGTGACGGAAAAAATAGGACCTGGTGGAGGCTATACTAGCAGGAAACCAGTGTCCAGGACCAAACTCAGCTGCTAGCTTTGGACACCATTCTGTCCGCCCCCGTCCCAGCGCCTCCGTCCCAGCCCTTCTTCACCTGTAAGCACATCGACGGTAATAATCCCCTGCACACCCCTCAGGACTTCAAATCACATGACTTAAGTACTAAGTCAAAACTCATAAAAAAGGTAAGTCCCGTCCCACCTACACTTCACTTACAAAGTCCTTTCATAATTCGTTATATGATCCCATCAACTCTGAGGTAGGGCAGAGAGGTTACAGGATTTGTTTACATTGGACTCATAAAGTCGGGTCTTCTGGCACCAGAGGTGGATCTAGACACCGCGCTCCTAAAGATAGTACAAAATGCTCTCAGTTTTCTTCAGTCTCTATAAACACCCCGCTTAGCACTGGGACCCAACCCCACTTCTCACCAGTCAAAATTAGCGCATTAGCGCAAAACTGCCCTTGATCCGACTTCCGGATTCAGACGGCCGTTTGATTGGCCACTGCTCCTATCAATCAAAGCCGACCCGCACACATTTCCCACTGCGATTGGCCTCGGCACCTTTGCCCCGCCTCCAGGCAGACACTCACTTTCACCGGCTTGGGCAAAATGGCGCCGCTGCGAGTAACGATGACTGACCTCGACGATACCAGGCTCCGACCTGAGCCGCCCCGTCCGGCGGAGATAGCTCCATCCTTCTTCAAGCTCAGTCCTCTCCGCAGAGCCCCAGATTGGCCAGATGCCAATACCAGCCAGCGAGCCGCTCCGGACGCCATCCCCGGCACCCGGACCCTAGCGGCTGGCCCCGGCGACGCCCTCCGAAAGAAGGCTGCCTCAATCCTCGCGAGGCTTCCGGAGCCGCCGAGAGGCCGGCCTCGCCGTCGCGCAGTGCGCCCAGTCCCAGCGGCGGTGGGAGGGAGGCCTTTGCGCCGGGCCAGCCCGACGTCGTGACGTCACGAGGGCGCCGCCGACGCCCAGGCGGTGGGGCGGGCCGCTAGTTAGGGTCGGTGGGGGGGCTCGTCAGGTTTTTTCAGTTTCGCTCCCCGGACAACTTGGCGGAGCACCCTCCGGTGGTTGCTGAAATAAACTTGAGTAAACGAAGAGCGGAGTAAAGAACGTAGTGTTTTAATCGTACAAAAGTTACTGTAACAATAAGGAAGAGAGAGGCCTGGAATGTCTATGTAAACAAGGTTGTGGAGCTTCCGTTTAGGGCTGAGAAGGCGCCCCTCCTCGTGGAAAAGTAGTCCGGCAGGAGCAGGTCTGGCCCCCGGGCCGCATCTCAGCCTCCCGGCCTTTACCCTAAGGCACTGACCCTCAGCCTCCAGGCCCATGGTTCCCAGCGTGGGGCACATTTTGATTTTTAAAGGGGGAATTCGAGAGTCATGATCAGTGAATTTTGTGCATTTCTTATGGTTCTAGGGAACTCCTGTACAGTCTATAAATATATATTGCGACATATTTATGTATTTCAGTTCTCTATTATGTCTTAGTAATTTCTTTCATTATGTCTACTGTCCTTAAGAAATTTCTTAATAATTTCTTTCATTATGTCTACTCTCCTTTCGTTCTTTTATTTTTTTCTTTCATGATGCCATGTTCTTTGGAAGCCTGTTTAGATCAAGTTAGTGGCCTTTTAGGCTTCCTCCACGTGCATAGGAGTTCACTTTTTCAGTAATAAGAATTCTTTGTCACAGGAGAGGGGGCATCAGGACTTTAGAGGTGCTTAGGTGGGACACGGCCAAGAAAAAGTTGGGAACCACTGCTCTAGGGCTAGCTGGGCCTTGTTCAGGCTGCCGAGGCCCCAGTGATAGAAGCTAAGGGGCAGATGGTGTATTGGGGATGGGGGTGTTTTCTGCGCAGTCTCTGCATCCATGCCCATAGGGCATCAGCCTAGTCAGGCCTCTGGCTCTCTAGAGCCAGCCACTTTGCCTGCCAGAATAATCGAAAAAGAAAACATCTGGCCTGCTAGTGAGAGTGGCAGTGAGAAGGTGTTGGCAGATACCCACTGGGTGACAAGCAGGACTGTGAACAAGTCCTCTTTGGGAGCCAGACAGGAGAGGGTTTATCACGGGGCACCAGCAGTCTTGTGCCCAAGCTCCTAGAATGCCCAGGACTGAGAACCACATAAAACAGGTTTTCTCTGGGGAGCCACACTGCCTGCCCACCTCTTCAGCCTCCCTCTGGGCCGCCCAGGAGCTGGCAGCTGCGTACCGAATGCAGTCAGGGTTTCTGCTGACATAAAAGCTACCAGTCCCTCCTGGGTCAGCATCCAGCACCGCCTGTTGTCAGGAGAGAGAGGACGGGGCCCAGCACTTTCTGAGCAGAGTACCTCCCTCTGTGTTGGCAGGAGGCCTCTCCCCCAAAGGACCCTCCCAGACTGTAGATGGGGCTCACATGCCTCGTCTCCCCACCACTCAGGAGAGCATAGCCCCAGAAACCCCCAGGATGTAATAAATCCACTTTCTCTGATTCTGCCCGTCTGAAGCCAACACTGCAGCCAACGTCTCGTTTTCAAATGCACACAAAACTTCCCATGCTGGGGACTGGCTGAGCCTGGCCTGTAGGCAGGTGATATTCCCTACTTTCTCCGTTTCGTTAACACCCCCTAAGAGAGGGGCAGTCCGCCGCAGTGTCAGGAGACTGGGCACCCTCTGCGACTGCTGAGCAAGCCACCTTTGCTTTCTGAGCCTCTGGAAATGAAGGGGTTACAAGTAATGATGCCTCGGTTCTCTCCAGGTGTGAGGGAGGATCTGAATCCTGGAGAACCTCCTCAAAAAAAGCAACTTTGGAAACGAGTAAACATCAAACTCCTAAAAAAAGAACTGGCCCTGGTGTCCTGACCCGCAGGACTAGGGCAGGACCCAAAGGGTCCGAGTTCAGGGCTCCTCCTGCTGCTGACCTTCGGGCTGGCTCCCCCGGGCCCTCTGCTGCCACCCCCGCCTCAGCTCCAGGATCTCCTGGCCGTACCAGTCGTGCAGGGTAGAGAAGCAAGAGGTCTCAGGGGACACGGGGCTCTGGCCCCTGCCTAGGAGGAGGCTGGCAGGGCCCTGCAACTCACATTCTGCCAAGCCCCGCCCTGCTGGCCTGCTGCCCCCGGCTTCCACCAAGCCCTGAGGGCTGTGCTCCCTGGAGAGGGTGTGGCCGTTCTCCAGGCCCCGAGACCGCTGGCCGGGAGGCTGGGGCTTGCAGGGGCTTGTCACGGCCCTCCAGGAGGAGTGGCGATGCAAGGCCAGGCTCTGGCGGGCATCACGCAGCTGGTTCTCCAGCTCCCGCACCACCAGGCGCATGTAGCCAAAGCTCGCCCGGGACAGCGCCTTCACCCAGGCCTCCTGGGCGGCCGGGCCATCGGCAGCAAGCAGGTAGGGACGCACACCAGGGGCGTTGAAGCAGATGGTGAAGGCAAACTCCTCGGACACCGGAGCCTCGGCCAGTTCCACCGTGCAGCCCTCCAGCACCACCAGCCCCAGCGGGGCCCGGGCCTCTCGAGTCTCGAAGGAGAACAGCAGGTTGCCCTTGAGGACAAACCAGCACCTTCGGCCGGCGCCACTGGGGGTGGGCGGGGTCCCCGGGCCCCCCCAAGTGCGCAGGAAGCCCCTGTGGTCTGCCGGGGAGTTGCTCAGCGCATAGTGGGCCACACTCCTCTCGTTCAGCTTCATGGCGCCATCAGAACTGCGGGCAAGAGAGGCGGCCATGGTCAGGGAGGGAGGTCGCCCGTGTCCCTGCGCGGGGAGTGCTGGCTCCGGGGGAGGCTTGGGCTCAGCCCTGTGGCCTCCACTCCCGGCTGTTTGCTCGAGGCTCTCAGTGGCTTCACCTGGGAAAACAGCTGCCTTCCCCCTCCATCCCCCCCCCCCCGCCTTTCTCTCAAAGGTTATTGTGAGGGTCATGGAAAGCACTGGACGTCAGAGGAGAGAAGGAGGATGTGATCGTATCAGACCGGGAGGTGTGGCAGGCAGGGTTGTGACACAGCTTTTTAAAATCCAAAGGAGCCGGCCCAGCTGAGCGGAAATGGACCCCAGGTCTATTGAAACCATTGTGCTTACACCATCCCCTAACCTGGGGACCCCGTAGTGCCAACCCTGAGGTTAGACCTCTAGGTCATGGGAAACTGAGGCAGGGAGCAGTGAAGGTGAACTGCACACAACCACAGCGCCAGTGGGAGCACAGCGTGGTCCCCTCATTCCCTCACACCTTCCGGGACAAGCCTTGGCCGTGACGCACTTACCAGCAGAGCTTCTAGCGGGAGGCGGGGGCCTCTCTGGTCTGGCCACAAGGCTCAACCACTTGACCACGTGATCTCCAGTGCGCCTGCAAAATAATTCTCAAACCCAGTCAGCCTGTCCTAAAGGATGAGAACTCTTCCAACTTTGGGGCCCCGTAAAGCCACTGCGTCCTCCAGGAAGCTGCCCAGGGCCCTGATAACCCCCTACCGAACCGCCCACCCAGGCCAGGCCCCTGGGAGCAATAACGGGCGGGCTCCTGTGGTCTGGGCCTCCGAGGCTCCGTCACTGTTAGTGCCCTCAGAGCTTCCGTTTTTCCCTCCCAGCTCTCCTCAGTTTACTTGTGGGCTTTAATTTAATCCCCTAATCTGAGGGGCCTGCCTGAGCACGTTATCTAAGCGGCTCCTGGCCACCAGGGTGGTCTGACCCAGCATGGGCCAACCACAGTCCCTTCTTTTCCTTTCCTTCACCCCACAGCCCTCCCTGGGGTTGGCAGTGCTGCCCCAGCCTCGGGGTGCCCAGCCAGGGGCTTGGCTCGGCTCCAGGGAGAAGCCCATACCAGCCTGCCCGGGAAGAATTGCAGTGATGGGAATGCCCAGCGGCCACACAAAGGCCCTCCCGCCCGCAGCCCACATTCCAGCGGGAGACACTGGAAACAAACACAAACAATAATGCATTCATTAAAAATAACGGAATACTAAATTCTGTAAGGACCGGTCACGATGAGGGCTGAGAGAGAAACAAACTGGGTCCTGGGATGGGGGCGGGGGGCGGAGGAGCTGGAGGAGAGAGACGTGGCCGCACTAGGTCCTGGGCCAGCCCCGGGGCGCAGGGAGAGGGTCGGGAACCCGCCCGCCCCGCCGTGTGCCAGGGGGGATGCCCCTAAAACCCGCCCAGGATGGCGAAGCCCGGCCGCACACTGGGAGGGAGGCCGGCGCACGGGCTTCCCGGCTCCTTTATTCGGAGCAGCGGCCGGGAGGCGGCGGCGGAGAGCGGGCAGCGCGGGCAGCGGCCGGGACCTCCCCCGCTCGCCGGGCCCGGCCGCCGCGCTCTCGGTTTCCCGGGGCCAAAGGGGCCGTCCCGCCACGTCCCCGCGGCCACGCCTTCCCGGGCCGCTTCCTCCCGAGCCTGGGCGGGTGGCCGGGTGCTGGGCTGCGGCCGCTCCCCGGGGCGATCCCGGCTCGGACCCTGCGCTCCCGCGGCCGCCGGGGGACCTGCCTGGACGGCTCCAGCTGCTGCCCCCTCCCTGCCCGTCCAGGACTCACCAGATGCCCCTCGATCTTCACGGGGAGAAAACTGAGGCCCGAGAGGCCGAGACCTGCCTGAGCCACAGAGCTGGTCAGGGGCTGGCGGCCTCGAACCCAAGGCCCCGCCTCAGGCCGTCTGTCGTCCTCACACTCATCCACCCCTCACCTCCACCCCCTCCTCCCCGCCCGCCCGAGGGCTCCGAGGCCTCCTCTTCCCACTGCGGTCCCCCTCTCCCTGCCCCGCCCACTTCTCCCTCAGCAAAGCCCAGCCCGGGAGGCCCAGCCGGGAGGCCCAGCCCGGGAGGCCCAGCCGGGAGGCCCAGCCGGGCCCTCCTCTGGGCGGGCTCCTACCCAGCCTGCAAGGCCCGGCTGAGCTTCCTGGCCACGCCACTGGGCCCTGGAGTCACCCCTTCTTTGCTTCGGGGTTTTTCTGGTTCTCCCTGTGACACTCCCAATGGCCTGCAAGCCCCGCGCCACCCCCAGGCCCAACCGGTAGGCCTGTGTTGTGTGTTAGCGAAATATGATTTCAAGTCAATCTACTTGCTTATGGCTTAAGTGAAGTTGTTTTAATCCACGTGCTTATGACCCCCCCAAAAAAGTTGCTTTGATATAAGTTTGAAGTCAGGATGGCCTCGCTGCTGCTGGGCCTGCTGGGGACTTATCCTTAAGGACCTAATAGAAGGGACATTTACTGTAAATACTGAGGAGGTGAGGACTGTTTGAGGGTTCCGGTTTGGGCAAAGCGACACTCTGTAACTTAAAAACTCTCCAAAGCCCTTGGGACATTTGCTCCTACCAGTGACCAAGCCGAGGTGGTGGTGGTGGTGGTGGTGATGGGGGTTGTGGTGTTAAACCTTGCAGTGGTCTCAGAAGTGTTAATCCTCCAGCAGCTCAGCCCTCCAAGCTAACACTGGCCTTCTGGTTCCCTAGCAACAGTGCTCTAGCAGCGGGGACTTTTACCCTTGGGCTGGCAGCTGGAAATCAGCTTTTTTTTTTTTTTTTAAGTATATTTTATTGATTTTATACAGAGAGGAAGGGAGAGAGATAGAGAGTTAGAAACATTGATGAGAGTCATCAATCAGCTGCCTCTTGCACACCCCCCACTGGGGATATGCCCGCAACCAAGATACATGCCCTTGACCAGAATCGAACCCGGGACCTCTCAGTCCCCAAGCCGACGCTCTATCCATGGAGCCAAACCGGTTTTGGCTGGAAATCAGCTTTTTAATCGGTCCCTGATTCTCCAGAATCCTCATGGAAAAATGCCACACCTCAGATTTTGACATTATTCCTTCACCTCCCCTGGCCTGGAACATTGGTGTGATTTAATGTCATTTTTTGGGAGTATGGTTTATTAAGAGATATGCTGTTGACTTCTGAAATTATAATTCCCACAATGAACCTGTGCTAAATAAAGTGTTGGCAAAGACAGAGTCAGTTTTTGAGGATAAGGTTTGCTGCCCGTCCCCACCCCTGCCCCCCAGTGCAGGAGGCTGGGGTTTCCCTGTGCCCCTGGGAGCCAGGAAGCTCAAACCATGTCTGCGAGCTTGTTCCCACCTCAGAGCTTCCTCCCTTGCGGTTCCCGCAGCCCAGAAGGCTCTTCCTGCTCATCCCTACCCCTCAGCTCTAACTGCTGGGACTCCTTCCTACCAGTTATGTCTCAGCTCAAACCTCTTTTCCCTGCCGCTGACCGTACTGTAAGAAGTCTGTGGGAGGGGAAAAAAGTTCCTCTTCCCTTCTAGGCTCTTCCTGCTGGCCACACAATCAAATCAACACGAGAAAGGTTACGAAGAGAAAAGAACCGGATTTAATGACATCCCCACATCATGAGACATTCAGAGACCCCCACATACGTGGAGGTTGAGAGACAGAACGGTAAAATGCAGTATCCACAGTATCCTGAGCTAAGGAATGTGATAAGAGGCCTGGGCTTCAGAGGGAGGAGAGCTATAAGAGTTCACAGGTTGATAAGTGGAGCAGATGTTTGCCGTGCCATAGAGATCGGCCATAAAACGTTATATCTGGTAATAACTCTGTATGGGCAAGGCTCCTAATTTAAATTCTTCTAGGTAGCTGTGGGAGTGCAGAAGTTTCTCCTATTTTGCCTTCAGCTCAGAATAATCCGCCTGCCAAAGTAGCACATCATAGGGAGGCCTGTTTAAACCCTGTCACCTACCCTCTGTCTGTCACCTCCCAGGTTGTGTGGCATGCCCATCATAGCACCAACCACTATAGAAACCTGCCTACACTCATGCTTTCATTTCTTGTGTATTACCTATACCCCTCACTACATTTTACTCAATTAATAACGTAAACCGTAACAAATGTGTTAGAAGATAATACATGGTGCAGGAAATATAGAACATGGTAAGGGAGATGAACTTGTGGGAATGGGGAGGTTGAGTTTTAAATAGGATAATCAGGGCGGGCTTCATTGAGAAGGTGACGTTTGAGAAACACTTAAAGGAAATGATAGAGCCAGTCACGCCAGGAGGAAGAGTGTTCAAGCAGAGGGAGCAGCCAGTGCAATGGCTCTGAGGTCTGTTGTGTCTGAATCTGGCCATCTCGCTACTTCCAGCCCCATCCCATCTTGCCTGGATTAGTGCAGCCACTTACATTTCAACCACAGTTATTCTCTCCACAGCAGCCTGGCTAACTCTACAACAGCTCACTCAAGACCCTGTGATATAAGACTCTCAAAACCTGTAGCGGAAGATGAAAACATAAACTTGGGAGGAGAATGGGTGGGGAATCAGGGTATCCCCTCATTTCCTCTTCTTCTTCTTTTTTTTCTTTAAATATATTTTATTGATTTTTTACAGAGAGGAGGAGAGAGGGAGAGAGAGCTAGAAACATCGATGAGAGAGAAACGATGAGAGAGAAACGATGAGAGAGAAACATCGACCAGCTGCTTCTTGCACACCCCCTACTGGGATGTGCCTGCATCCAATGTATGTGCCCTTGATCAGAATCGAACCTGGGACCTTTCAGTCCGCAGACCGACGCTCTACCACTGAGCCAAACCGGTTTCGGCACCATTTCCTCTTCTTTTAAAAATTATATTTTTATGGGTTTCCTTTTAGGAAAGGAGAGGGAGCTAGAGAAACATCAATGATGAGAGAAAAATCATTGATCTGCTGCCTCCTGCACGCCCCCAGCCCGGAATCAAATCCAGGACCCTGAATTCCGCAGGCCTATGCTCTATCCTAGGGGTGTCGAACTCAATCAGAGAAGGGGCCAAAATCTAAAATCCAGCCTAAATCGAGGGCCGAATGGTTTACTGAACAGTCATAAACTGTCATTGTGATGGAAACGCAGCGGAGTGCAGTGATGACAGCGCGGTGCGGGCCACATTGCAAGGCCTGGCGGGACGGATTTGGCCCACGGGCCTTGTGTTTGACACATGTGCTATCCACTGAGCCAAACCAGGCAGGCTCACTCCCCCTTAACAAAGCCCTCAGCAGGTACCCACGCCACAGCTGGTTACTGCGCGTCTACAGACACTTCCCTGCCCACAGGCCCCGCACAGGAGAAAGGTCTAGCTGGGGGAGCCGGGCGGGCGGCGCAGCAGGTTCCCCCTTTGCGCGGAGTCCGCGGGAGCCCAGGGGGCGGGGCTGAGGGAGGTTCCTCAGGGGGCGGGGCCCGGCGCTGCTGGAGGGCTTCTGATTGGCTCCGGGGGAAGGCGGGCCGCCGTCAGGCCCCGCCCCTCTGGAACCAGTTCGCAGAATCCGGCGGCTGCAGGGCTTCGCGGCTCTGCGGGGGCGGGCGCTGTGGGGGTCGGAGGCGGCGGCAGGTGAGTGCCGCGGGCCGGGCCCTCTGGGGTGCGGGTCCCCGCGCTGTGGCCGCGGCCAGAGGCGGCCTCCCGGACCCGGGAGGAGTCCGGAGCCCGGTCTGGGCCTGGCGTCTCCCCTCTTCCTGGGCCACCAGGAGCCGGGGCTGCCGGAGGAGGGCCGCCCTCCGACTCTCGGGGCGCCCAGCGCTGCAGGGGGCGGGGGACACGGGGGGAGGTCTGATGGCCGAGACACATTGTTCAGTGTTTCCGAAGGAAGAGGGAGTGATGGCTGGGCCGGGGGTGGGGGCCCTGAGGCGGCCTGGGGAGTCCCCGCCCAGGGTTGAAGGCCGCAGGGCTAGTCGGGCGGTACTGGCGCCCGTACTTTCCTAACCTTTCTTAGCTTCCAGAGCCCAGCATATAAAGTTGTAAAGCAGATCTGGGCCTCTCCCGAGACGCTGAGTGCACAGAAATGCTGTGGAAGACAGGTAACTACATGGGAGGAGGTGGCTTCCGGAGGGCCGGTGACCAGCTGGGGGTGGGGGATGCCTGGCCAGAGTCCAGCCCTCTGGTGTCTGGGCCTCCTCCCCTGATGTGGGTATGGGTGTGGGAGACGTCTTCCTCTTATTCTTGGAGCTGGGCGGGGAGAGAAGGAACTCCCCCTGAGGAATCAGTTCCCCTCTAAAATGAGAGACTCAACCTTACGTGATATCAATATGTGCTGAGAACAGCCCTGTAAAGTCCGTACATTAACTCCATTTTACAGATAAGGAAACTGAGGCCCAAGAGGAAAAGGGCTCACCCTGGGGTGCAGGTCCCACCTGGCTCACCTCTTTTTTTTTCTTCTTTTATTTATTTATTTTTTTAATTAAATTATTATCTGTGTACATATTTTAACATTGCCCCCCCACATACCCTCCCTCCCCAGAGTTTTGTGTCCATTAGTTGTACTTATATGCTTTTTTCTTCTTTTAAATATTTTTTAAAATATTTTTATTGATTTCAGAGAGGAAGGGGGAGGGAGAGAGAGAAACATCAATGAGAGAATCATCCATCCGCTGCCTCCTGCACGCCCCCTCATGCGGATGAAGCCCGCAACCCGGGTACGTGCCCTTGACCAGAATCGAATCCAGGACTCTTCAGTCTGCGGCTGACGCTCTATCCACTGAGCCAAGTCAGCGAGGGCCTGGCTGGTCTCTTTACCCCTTCGAGGTCTCTTGGGGATCAGTGGTGGAGAGCAAAGACCTGGGTGGGACTCAGGAGACCTGAATCCAGCTACAGGGCACTGTGAGTTCTGTGTAATGGAGTTGGTCTGGGTATAGAGAGGATAGCTGTTAGTTTTTGCTAATCCTAGCACTGCTGTGCCAACAGCAGCAAGTGGGGACGTGCCCAGGCCTCAAAC